TTCCCTTTGGTCGCTTTAGAGATTTTTCTCATCTTTGCTTTTAAACAGTTTGACCATAATGTATGTAGGTATGCTATGCTTCGTATTTATTCCACTTGAGGCTTTCTGACCCTCTGGGGTCTATAAATGGATGTGTTCTATCATATTGGACAAAGAGGGTGCAGTATTTTTTCGTATACATATATGTAATCTCACATATCACATTTTCTCTGTTTTTGGAATTCCACTTGCCACATATATTAGACTACTTGGTAGTACCACAGTACCACAGATATCTGAGGTTACATTTCTTTAATTTTCATTATCTTTTCTCTCAGTTCTTCAGATTAGATAACGTCTGTCTTTAGGCTTATCATCCTTTTCTCTTTCCTACTCCATTCCATTGTTATACTCATTCAGTGAATTTTTCATTTCAGACATTAGACTTTTTGGTCCTAGACTTTGTTTCTTAGGGCTTTCATTTCTTTACTGAAATTTCCACCTATTTGTTCATTGTGATCATATTTTCCCTTAAATACTTGAACATAATTATAAATTATTCAAAAACATTTTCCCACCGGTGCCTGCAACTGGGCCATCTCAGAGTCAGTCTCTTTTGATTGCTTTTTCTTGAGTCTGAGTCACATTTTTCTGGCTTTTCACTTGCCTATTAATTTTTGTTATTGTATGTTCTACACTGAAAATTATATAGTCTGGTCTTCCTTAAATGGGTGTTGGATTATGTCATCTTCTTTCATTTTAAAAGATTTTATTCATTCATGAGAGACACAGAGAGAGGCAGAGACATAGGCAGAGGGGAGCCGGATGTGGGACTTGATCCTAGGACCCCGGGACCACACCCTGAGCCAAAGGCAGACAATCAACCACTGAGCCACCCAGGCATTGCTGTTGTCTTCTTTTAATGAATTTGGTTTAATTCTTGTAAATTTCCCTTGGCCTATCTGCTTTGTTTTTATTGAGTATGTAATATGGGACCTAAAATACGCTTTTTACACTAAGGTGTGCCCCTTACTTTAAAGGGATGGCCTTTCTAATATCTAAAATGAATGCTTGGAGTGCCTCATGAGGTCTCTCCACCCCCACTGAGATGGAACTCTGATGTCTCTCAACACTGCATGATATGCAGCAGGCAATCTCTACTAGGCTGTGTAGTCTTATCATGTCTTTATTCATCTCAGCGTTCAGCCAAGGAACCATGGTGAATCCCCGTGTAAACTTCTAGGGCCCCCTTTTTCACAGCTACCTACTTTCAGATATGCTATCCTGCCAATTTCAGCTGCTTCAACGGCCCAAAAGTCCAGTTTCTCCTTAAATGAGACTACTCTGCATGGGTTCCACTTTCTTGCACCCCAGGAAAAAAGGTGCGTTTCAGCAGAAAAATCAGGACAGTTATGGGATAGTTATGGAACATACCTCATATATTGCCTCTCTCGCAAAGATCACAGCTGTGGGCTGCCTGTTACCCAATGCCTGAAAAGCTTTGTCACCTGTAGTTTTAGAGTTTTTTTCCAGTAGGAGAACAAGCCAGGTACCTATTACTCTCTTGTGGCTAGAAGCAAATCTTTGATGCACACTTAAATGCACACTGAGATTTAAATCACTGATACTTTTAACTATTCCTAAGAGGAACTTTTGACCAAGAGTAGGTAAGAGTGCACTTAATAACATGTTAGGAATGACTAAAGAGGGAAAGGGGCAAGCAATGCTCTTAAGGGCATTAAAAACAAAATTTGAAAGCTAACCTATGTTATATACATGATACTCTTACTTAGACTTAGCAAGTAACAAAAAAAGTAATTCTATATATTCTGTGTTATTTTCTATATAACCTATGTTGTAATGTATATGATACTCATAGATTTAGAAGATAAAAAGATACATGTTTTCTTCCCTATTTTGACCCATCCTGTTAATTCAAAATGTCCTCACTTAAGGTCACTGAATCTAAGTTGGAGATACTAGACCTTTGAATCACTGGTTAGTGAGTAGCTAAATTAGGAGTCATGGCCTTAGGAAGAAGCCAGTTCAGACTGAAACACAAGTGACTATTTGGTTGAAGAAGTAACTCTCCATTTTTAAAGGGTGGAGATGGTTTGGTAGTAAATTAGTTCTCTCTCTGCCCTGGGAGATTAGACAAACAATGGATCTAACTAAGAAAATAGACTGACTCATTTGGCTACGATGCTATACTGAAGTTATAAGCAAACTAACCTTAATCTTCAGAAAGAGAATTAGGCTCTGTATACTGTAAATGAGTTTTACAGTCAGTTCTGAGATTTCTCACTGAATAATAATCTTTAAAAAATCAGACATCTATAGATCTAATGGCACTCAGAACCCTGCCTTGCCTTACCTCATCCTCTGCTATAGCATAGCTGAAGTCATATGCAATTTACTTCATTATTTATTAACTCTGCTTTAGGGTGGTAGTTTTTATTGCGAGAGAAGTGAGGATGGTAATAACTGCCCTGATTTCCTTGAGCATTTCCAAACTTCCTCTAGAGGTGAACACGCTATCTTCAGAGTGAAGGGTCCACCTGAAGAATAGGTACAGTATGAGAAGGGAGGAGAGGCAGACCTGTTAGCAGGAAGAAGAGTTGCACAGGGCTCATAACGGGTCATAAGTGAACAGGGGTGGAGAACGAAGGGAAATGTAATCACACATCTGGAAGAGACCAGTCATCTGCTCCAGACTGCCTCTGGACAGGTCAGGAAGGGGTGTTTGGGTGGACCTTTTTTTTTTTTTTTTTCACATCTGGATTTAGCTTCTCTTGAACTTTCGAGCTTTTTGCCTTTTACCAAGCCTGTTTCTTCTCTGCAAATCATGTGGTACTTCTGCCCCAGGACGAAGTCCTTGGAGGGGATTTAATTAGCTTTGGGGATGGTCCGTTCTTTTTCCAGAAGGTCTGTTTCAGGTTTAGGTCATTCCATTGGCCTCACCAACAACTGAAGGGCAGATGTCCTGGCCACTCAACAGTCCCCTGGGCGGAGAGGAAGGACCTCTAGGCTGCTGGTCACACTCCTTGTATTTCTAACTCCCCTTAGCTGTGAGGGCAGGAGGTGCTGAGGTGGGCGGAACTCGGAGTGGAGGAGTTTTTAGGTAATTTCGGGTCTCACAGTCCGTAAGAGCAGCATGGGTAGCATGCCTGCCTACCTTTCCCCACATACGCGTACACACCCCTACATGACGTGCTGGTAGGAGGGAAAGTTTTGGCACCTTGGGGCTCCTCTGGGGCCGCTCATTTCTTCCACGTGTCCCGGGTGTCTGCATTTACCGCAAGAGACTGCACAGAGCGGAGTGGCAGTCAGTGGTGGCCGCTGCCGCTTGATGCAGCAAGGGAGGTTCATGAGCATCGGAGAGGTAAGCGGGGCTATTTCTTGCCGCGCTCGGTGGCCACCGTGGCCCCCGCCCGCGCACCCGCGCGCGCACCCGCGGAGCAGACGCGCCCCCCCGCGCCCCGCGCCCGCGCCCCGCGCCCCTCCCTGCGGCCGGCACAGGCCGCCCAGAACTTCCCTTGGGTCGCGGCCCAGCGATACGGAGCGGCCCTGGCGCAGGGCCCCGCTCTTCCCGAGTCGTGGGTGGCGCGGTGCTGGTTTGCCTCCCCTCCCTTTCCGGACCCGGCCAGGGATGTATCTGGGTCAGCCTGGGAGGGGCTGGACCTGCCGGGGGCCGGCGGGGGGAAGGGGGGCGAGGACAGCAGCTGTCAGGTTCCTGGCGTTTCCGGGCCTGGCCCCGTCCAGCCTCGCCCCGCACTCGCGCCCGGCGAGCCCCGGCCCCGGGGGCGCGGGCGCGGCCGCCCCTGCTCGCCCTCCGCCGCGCGCACGGCCGGGCCCCCGGGGAGGCAAGGAGCGGCGGAGCGGCGGAGCGGCGGAGCGGCTCGCGGCCGCCACCGGCCCCGGGCTTCCTTCCTGCCCGGTGATAGACGGCGGGGCTGCAGGCCAGTGGCCGCGGGAGACGCTCCCCCCGCGGGCCCGAGCCGCCGTCGGCCGCGCCCCGCCCCGCCCCTCCCCACCCCGCGGGGGCCCAGCGCAGGCCCCAGGGGCCTCTCTCCCCAGGGCCCGCACCCCGCACCCCCCCACCCCACCCACCCCACCCCACCCCACCCGGCGCCCGCGGCTCCCGGAGCGAGGCGCGAGGTGCGTCCGGCCCGCGCCCGCCGACGCTTTGGCCGAGGGGTCACGGGCTCGCGGCTCCCCGCTCCGACGGCTCGAGGCCCGGCCCCTCCCCGCGAGCCGCCCCGCGCCTGCCCTCGCCCTTCCTCGGCGCGTCGCGGAGCAGCGACCCCGGGGCTCCCGGGGCTCCCGCCCTCGCCCTCGCCCTCGCCCTCGCCCTCGCCCTCGCCCTCGCCCTCGTCCTCCCCTCGCCCTCCCCTCCCCTCCCCGCCTTGCCGCCGCCGCACGCTCGGGCCTCGTGTGCGCGCGGGGAGCCCCGATGCCCCCGGGCCAGCAGCCCCGCACCGCGCCCCCCGCCGCCCCCGAGGCCGCGCCGAGCCGAGCCGAGCTGCGCGCCCGCCCCCCGCCCCCCGCCCCCCTGCAGCTCCACGCGCCCGCGGCCCCCCCCGCCCCCGCCCCCCTGTAGCTCCACGCGCCCGCGGCCCCCCCCGCCCCCGCCCCCGCCCCCCGCCCCCCTGCAGCTCCACGCGCCCGCGGCCCGCCCCCGCCGCACCCCCTCCCCCGGCCGCTCCCGGCGGGCGGGCGGGGAGCCGAGCGGGCTGGGGCGCGCAGGGGGCGCGCAGAGCTCTCGGGCCGCCCGCGCTCGCCGCGCCTCGGGGATCGCGTGGGGCGAGCGGCCCGGGCCGGCCCCTCTCGCCCGCCGCGCCGCGGGTTTGAAACTTTATCGGCGAGTCCCGCGGCTCGTCGCCGACGCGAGCAGGGGGCGGGGGCGGGGGCGCGGCGCCGGCGGCCGTGACGAGGCGCTCCCGGCGCTGAGCGCTTCTGCCCGGGGCTCGCATGGCGCCCGCGCACGGAGTCTGACCTGATGCGGACGCAGCGGGGTTACTATGAACGCCCCTGTCGGTGGAACCTGGCTCTGGCTCCCTCTGCTCCTGGCCTGGCTCGCCCCCGGGGTCGGCGCCTCGTGGTGGTAAGTCCCCGCGCGCGGGCGCAGGGCGCAGGGCGCAGGGCGGAGGCGGGGGAGCGGGGGAGCGGGGCGCGCACCGGCCCCGGGGACCTGCCGCCGCGCCCCCGGCCGCCCGCCCCGGCCGCCGCGCCCCCCCGCCGCCCCTCCGCCTCTCCCCCGAAGACCAGTCCGGTTTTGACAACTCCAAAAAAAAAAAAAAAAAAAAAAAAAATCCCAACCCCGCAGTGTCCCTCAAACGAGAGAGCTCGGGTGTGTGGTTGATTCGGGTCCAGATGAGCGACAGCAAAACCAGCCGATTTCTCATCCCGGAGGCAGAGACGCGCCAGCCGGGGCCCCAGCTCTGCAGCCCGGGCGTGTGTGTGCGTGGGTGTGCGGGTGCAGCGTGAAAACTGCGACCGGCTCCCCCGCCCGGGCCCCCCGCCCGGGCCCCCCGGGAAGGTGCGGGGCCGCGCAGCCCGCGGGTGAGGACTTGCAGTGTCCCCCCCCCCAGGTCTCCCCGGGCCGTGCGGGGCCGCGTAGCCCTCAGGTGAGGACTTGCAGTGACCCCCCAGGTCCCCCCAGGTCCCCGGGCGGTGCGGGGCCGCGCAGCCCTCAGGTGAGGACTTGCAGTGACCCCCCAGGCCCCCCAGGCGCTGCAGGGCGGCGCAGCCCGCAGGTGGGCACGTGCAGTGACCCCCCCCGGTCCCCCCAGGCCCCCCAGGCGGTGCGGGGCCGCGCAGCCCGCAGGTGAGGACTTGCGGTGCCCCCTCCAGGCTCCCCCAGCCCCCGGCCGCCGCCAGGTGTGCCCTCACGCCGCCGCCAGGTGTGCCCGCCGCCCGCCGCCGGGCTCCCGCTGCCGCCCGCTGGGAAGCGCGGTCGCCGCGGGGGTAACTGCAGGGGCGCTCGCTCGGCGGCTCCGCGGGGCAGGGCGCGCGGGGAGGGGCGGCGGGCGCGAGACGGAGCAGCAGGTCCCGGCGCCGCCCCGAGGGGAGACCCTCCGGCTCCGTCCCCGGCCTGGTGTCCCGGAGAGGTGGCGTTGCAGCTGGGGGACGCCCTTGAACCTGCAAGTTTCGGAGCAGATCCTAAAATACGGACTCAGAAATGCCAGTTACGGTGGGCTGGTGTTGCTTGGGGGGGGGGGGTATTTTGTTTTCAAGAATCTGGCAAAAGTGAGGAGCCTCGGCCAAATTAAAGACCATAGAGGAGGGAACTTGAGGAGGACCTTGGAGCTCTTCAAAGGAGCAAGGCAAAGCGTTGATGGGAAGAAGGTTCAATTCCTCCCTAAGCCGCTTTGAACAGGAAGGCGTTTAGCCTTGACACTGCTGACACAGGATCAAAGATTGATTTATCAGAGTGACCATTTTTCAATAAAATGACTATTTCTGTTTCCATGGGTGTATAAACATTATTTATTGCCCGGGCTTTTTGTCACATTGTCTCTCAGCTGTCACTTAAAAATATTTTTTGGAAGTCGCAGCTGTAACGATTTTATGATCATATAAAATAATGAAAATACGAGAAAAAGACATTCTCCTTGTTTGATCGCTTCAAAAGACACCTATGGCAGCTTGGGTTATATAAAAGGTACCTTTCTAAACATTTCACGACTAATAGAGAACATCTGGGTAGAGATGATGATGTAATTTTTTGTTAAAGTTTCTTTTCAAAAGTACTTTATGGAGCTATAACACTGTTTGATTCTTCCAAACATTTAGTGTCCTTAATAACAATAGAAAGAATTTTTTTTTTTCCTTCCAAAGGCTTTTCTCTATAAAAGCCAAAGAGAGCTGGGGGGAAAAGTGGGAATATTTAAAGGATTCTTTGGTAAGGAAAAAAGGGCATGTCTGCGAGGAGAGATGTAACATCAGATACCACCAGCAGGTGTTGATTGGACAGATACAGACAGTTTCTAAAGACACTTAAACATTGGGTCAAAGAAGTGGGAGTTTCTAAAGACACTTAAACATTGGGTCAAAGAAGTGGGAGCTGCTTCTAAAGGAGGATGCCCCCAAAGCGAAGCCCAGACATACTGTGTCACAGAGATCGGAGCCCTCTTGGGAAAAGCCTTTGAAAAAGCCTTGGGAAAAAACTCTTCCCCACACACGCTGCCCCCTCCCTCACTCTTGACCTTGACTCTCCTCCCCTGGCCAGAGCATCATCAGGTGGCCCTGGCCTCACATCCAAGACACATAATCCTCGCTCCATGTTGGGGTGGCATCTACTCCCATGCATGCTGTGCCCCTTCTTGCTTCCCAGTATCCCCCAGAAGGATAAGGAATTCATACGTGAACCGTGCTTTGAGCTCTTCAGTCTCCCGGGAAACAGGGCCCCAGCCCTGACGTTCATGGTGTTTCCACCTCCGTGTTGCTCCTTTGCAGGTACATGAGAGCTACAGGCGGCTCCTCCAGGGTGATGTGTGACAATGTGCCAGGCCTGGTGAGCCGCCAGCGCCAGCTGTGCCACCGACACCCGGACGTGATGCGTGCCATCGGCCTGGGCGTGGCCGAGTGGACAGCAGAGTGCCAGCACCAGTTCCGCCAGCACCGCTGGAACTGCAACACGCTGGACAGGGATCACAGCCTCTTTGGCAGGGTCCTGCTCCGAAGTAAGTCTCCCGCCTTTGCAGAGCTCCACGGGCTGTCCCCTCACACACAAGTCCCCTGACTTGGTCTTCCGAGACCCCGCTCATCTCTTCTTGCATTTAGTTAGTCAGAAGCTTGTCCTGTTGGGTTGGCGTTGCCCCTGTCTTACAGAGGACGACTAAAGAAATCAAGGAACTTGCCTCAAGTGTCAAAGGAGGCCAGTCGTAATTTAGGATCAAGGGTCTTTTCGCTCTTTGCTCTGTCCTTCCGTGTCCTGTCACCACCGTGCCTGTCCCTCCAGGATCAGATTCTGTCTTCAGGAGAAAGGAGGAAGCAGTCACAGGGCTCTCTTGACTTTTTGATTCTTTCTGGGATTTGAACTTTCCAGAGGATTTGAGTAGATCAGGATAGAGTAGTACTCAGAACTTTCACTGACCAAAAAGTATTAAAAAAAATAATAATAATAAGCCAAATGTTTATTAAGAAGCAGAGGCGAATCCCCAACCACCCCCTTTCACCTCCCATTCAGCTACTCAGTCTTGGGTCACTCTGTGTCTAAATTCAACATTTTTCTTTTCCGGTAGGTTGTAAAATCTGTAAATCCCCGCCCTTGCTCGGTGTCTTGTGTGGCAGGCATCATTCACTCATTGCGTGGTGAATGAATGGATGAACTCAGAGTGAGCAGCTCTTGTTTTCCAGGCATATTTTAGGCAGAATAATATTTACGGAGAACAGGGGTGAGAACTGTGAGTGCATAGTTTTCAAACATATATGTTTCATTTCTGTTTTACTTAGAGGGAGAAGTAAACACTATCTGATTACATAATAAATTTCTTAAAAGTTCTGAACATAAGAAGTGGCTGGTATACAATCAAAGCAAATGAACCGAAAATTAGATTTCATCGTCAGAAATACTCATCCCTTAACCTGGCATTGTTAGCATCCTTCAAGAGGTAGCATGGTCCATTTGCTTTCGGGAAATCCCACTGAAAACACAAGAGTTTACGTGTGAACCCCAGGAACCGGAAAATACACTTGTTTTTGCCCACCACCACCCCCCCCCCCATTCCTAAGAAAATCGTCCAGGCTGTACACTTGGTAATGCTTAACAGAGGGTGTTTCTATCATGTAATCATCACAGCCCTAGGGTTTTATGAGGCCAAATGCATAACTGAATGTCTCTAAAATCCCCCAAGGGCGTAGTACTCTCACTCAGTGTATCCCTAAACTTAATTTACTGCGATATTCGGCAATTTTATTCTCTAGTTTAAGAACTATATTCTTGTGCATTCCTTTTGGAGTTTCAATATGACATCGCAAATTTTTGAAAGGTCAATAGTGAATTTCAGCTACATGGAATTTTAAGACTTCACCTAGATTAGCTCACCAGTGAATCAATTAAAGTGCTGGACCTAAAAAATAAAATAAAAAAGTGCTGGACCTCGTCAAAGAGAGTTTACAAATAGCTAACACAAGTGATCTTTGGGCATATTGTGTACAGGCTCTCGGTGTGGAAGCCGTATCAGGACTCTCCAAAGTACTCGCAGTCATTTGCCCATCGTCACAAATCAGATATCCTTCTCGTTGACAGAATGCTCACCTCCAAACCCTGACTGCAAAAATCCATTCAGGTGACTCCATATTGAATAGAAAAAAAAGGAAAAAAAAAAAAAAAAACCAACTTTCGATCAATCAAAGGAAGCAATGCTGCCCATGGAGCCTAAAGAGAGCATGTCTAGCAAAGCCGGGAGTTCATTTGTAAAATCTTTTTCATCTTGGCTGTAGGGTTGCTGAGAGGGAAGAGGCTAGAACGGGAGGAAGCAGCGCTAGTTGGCCTTAGTGTCAAGCCTCAGGTAAATAAGGGAGCCTAAGCTGAACTTCCTTGAGAGTTCTTTCGGAGGAAGCTGAACGCTTTTCCAAAGTACTCGAGACTTAAGGCACTCATGCTACACAGCTTCTTTCCAATCTTCACAGAAGGCCAGATTTCTTCCTGCACATTTATATAAAACTCCTGTGACTGTCTGTGATGATTTTTTTTGTGTGTGTTGGTTATGGGAGGGCTGAATTTGACCTAACGTAGTTTATCCTGGAAATAATCAAGAAATTCCAATGAAGCTATCCAAAGATTTTTACAATTAATCGCTTGGAGGGAAATTCACATCTTAGGTTGTGAAGGACTCTCTTTTGGAAACCTCAGTGTCCTTATAGATGCATAGGAAAGGCAAAGGCCAACATCACTGATGGGCGAGAACATAAGTCACTAAACATATTCCCTGGTCATAGAGAAAAGGGGAACATCTGTCTGCCTCTTCTGCTCCGGAGAGCTAGAGGAAGACAGGACAATTTCTGGAAACATTTATAATTCGCTCATTCCACAGACTGTCACCAGCCACAGGCAGAGAAACTTAAAGACCAAACTAGTAAACCCAGAAATATTCCTACAAGAATATACCTCCAGAATTCTACCATAAGCCTTAAAAAACAAAAATGCAAGTAGGTCTCATCCTTGCAAATGTACTTTAAAAAAAAAAAAAATAGCAAGCATTTCAAGAGAGCCAGATGACCCATAACCTTCCAGAAAGGGTAGCTTCTAAGTGTTTTGCCCTCCCAGGTGACCAGACCCCGCCTCGGACAAAAATGATGCCTACGTGCTTGATAGACATTTCTTGACTTCTCTCCATCTCCAAATTAGTGAAACTTCAACCGCATTAGGAAGTTAAATTACCACCACCCTTTAGATTTGGATTTCGTTTCGTATTGTGATGGCTTTAAAAAGAATCCGTTTTTCTAAGAGGCCTCGAGATCAGACTTTGTCTTGTTCCAAAGCCAACTCTCGAAATGTGCTACTTTTTCACACATAGCATTTTAGTGATTCATCTAAGACACTTAACTGAAAACATCTTAAGGCCGAATCTACGTGATACCAAAACATCTGGAGGTAAAATGAAAAGCCAGTCAATGTGCTAAGTTTTGTATTTAAATCTAGAGACGTCTAGTTACTTAGTGATGTGTTCGGAGACTAAACGACAGATATCCAGAAAGGTGATGTTTCCGCTTTGGAAATTACTTCGGACTCCTAGCAGCCTTCCTGTGATTCTTTTCTTCTTTGGGCCAACAGGTCAATGTCATTGTTTGCGAGTTATGCCCAGATGAATTCTGCACCGAGGCAATGGCTTTCCTCTCCTGCTTTCACGGTGGTGTCTGGTCACGGGCATTCTATCATCCACATCTTCCTTTCCCTTCCCCTAAAAGACCACCTCATAAAATTGCTCTTCTTTCTCCTTGAAAAGTAAGACCAGCGCTAAAGACGTTAAGCGTTTACGAGTTCCCCCCTCTGTGGCATCTCTAAACGTAGGCAGCTCACTCCAGATACAAAACCAGGCATTAGCAGGTCAAGGGGGTGATAACGGACAAGGCGTTTTGTTTTCCTCACCTCTAGGATGGGTGTCACCATAATTTTATTTACCCGAAAGCCACTACCTGAGGTTAAGCCACATTAGTATCTATTCATCACCTTCTTTGGTAAAACATCTCCATTCACGTAGACAATCTGAGATCCTTGTAATATAACCTGGGACTCTTTAAGAACAGCTCTCTGGCCATCACGTTTCTCTCTGGAGAGTGCTGCCTGCTACCTATGGCAAATATTCGTATAATTGATTTTACCTAAAGTACAGGGTATGATTGATTCCTTTTTTGATGGTTAGAGGTATCAGGGGAGTTTTTTTTTTTTCTTTCTTTCTGAAGGCTGAGGTAAGTGCCATTTAATATGGTGTAGATATGTTTTCCTGATTTTTAATAATGAGACCAGCAGAGCAAATATTGCAGGGGACATATAATAAATTTTAGCACCGAATGACAGGCGGAAACAAGCAGGGCTTCAAGGCGAAAAGGTGGTTTGTTCTCCCAGCTGTGTGGTTCAAAAAGTCACACTCGTCTTGACATACCGAGTCGCTGAATGGCTCTCCCCGTTCTCTGCCTTGCGTTGGCAGCAGGTTGTTGAGCTTCTATTTTGATCGTTGATATATTTGCCGCCGCACCCATTAATAAAGAGGCACGCTAATAACAATGAAATACAGCCCCACTTGAAAAATGAGGTGCGCTCGGACCCTAAAGAGCCTTATATCTGTCACTATCCCGCAACACCGTGTTATGAGTTACTACAGATTATTAAAATAATTTAATGTAGTTATTGCCCTGAAATATGTACCTTTCAGCCCGTAAGGGAAAGTAGCCTGGGCTCTAATAAAGAACAATTCTAAGAAAGCACCCCAAAGGGTCCTTGCCCAAGTCTAATTATAGGCGGTAAATTTGTTTCCTTCCAGAAAAACCAAAGAAAAGCTTTTCGCTGTCTTTTACCCAATACCAGTGATTAGTGCAGGTGTTCCAGAAGAAAGTAAATTCACCGTAATAGTCAGACGCAGTATGTAACTCAAGGATATTGCATGTTGCCTTCAACAGTCTCTCAGTGACTCGTGAAAGCCGATGCCGAGCCCGGGCTGCCCAGCGTGAAGGCACGGGGCGGGGTACTGCCGGCTTCTCCTCGCGCCTCGGCCCCTGCGTGGGTCCCTGAGCCGGTCTTCCAGTCTCCACTATGTGACAGGAGTGTCCTCACTGAGGCCTGCACGTTCGGAAGGGGTGTTTTTTCGAGGAGAGCTGCCGTAGCGCCAACACCAGACCAATTTGAGGCATGACACAGACCCTGTTACAGATGGAAGGAAGGCCCCAGAAGCCTGGCTCCTCTCCCCCGGGGCAGGAGGCAAGCGCAAAGCCAGGGGCGAGCCAGCGAGACAGGCAGCCTGGCTGCATTTCCCTTTAGACGCTTTACACACTTAACTGGAAGGACGGTTGTCACACAGACGCCTAATCTGACAAAAAGCTTTTATGGCCTAATTCCTATTAGAAAGCGAGCCCTGGCTCTAGAAGAGAATCCTTCGAGAACACCAGAACCTTCCTGCCCTGTGGCGACGTGTGCCACAGGTGGAGCGAGCCGTCAACAGCCCTAGTGTGAAAGCTGTTTCAGAACCAGCAATTCCAGACCGCGTTTAAGAAAAGCATTTCTGTTGCAGGTAGTCGGGAATCTGCCTTTGTTTACGCCGTCTCCTCAGCTGGAGTTGTGTTTGCCATCACCAGGGCCTGTAGCCAAGGAGAGTTAAAATCCTGTTCCTGTGATCCAAAGAAGAAGGGAACCGCCAAGGACAGCAAGGGCAGTTTCGACTGGGGTGGCTGCAGCGATAACATTGACTATGGGATCAAATTTGCCCGAGCCTTCGTGGATGCCAAGGAAAGGAAGGGAAAGGATGCCAGAGCCCTGATGAACCTTCACAACAACAGAGCCGGCCGGAAGGTATGGACGCCCGTGGCGCTCATTTTATAGGCTGCATGGCTTTATAAATCACTTAGACCAAGCCTATCTTAAGCTTCCCTAGAGTTGATAAAATGCTATACGGTCACAGCTTCCCACTGCCCCCCACCCCCACCCCCAGCCGTAGATTCTAAAGAATACCATGGGCCGGGTTGAAGTGTCTCCACCCGCACTCCACCTTCCTTCCCACAGCTGAGCTGGAGTCCACCCATTGCTTTTGGCATTGTGCAGAGTGAAGTGTTTTATGGTCCCTCTGGACACCGTATCATCTAGACAGGAGATATAATCTGCGGGTGAGGATAGGGCTTCATCCCACATACCAACGGGACACTGAAAATGCTTGTATCTGAGGGGGTTCAAGCCCCAGAGTGTCTTCTCTCCAACTCGTCAGGAAAGCAACCCACCAGGCATGGCTTGTTGACGTCTAGATTTAAAGATGCTCTTTTTAGAACCAGATCCAAGTGTCGTGCATTAAAGCCCCACCTTGTAGTTGCAGTAACTGGATGAGTGAGTGGACCAGGGGAAGACCTGCCCCAAAGGGGTGCTCTGGTCCCTTTATGCACTAGTCCTGACTAACTTCCTGGGCGGTGGGTACCCAGTCATTATTCACCTCCTAGCCCCCATTTGTTAGGTGAGGCAACAGGCCCTAAGGTGCTCAAGGTCACATGGAGAGTCAGTAGAAAAGTCAGTACTAGCACTGAGGTTCAACTCCTGGCCTAGGGGTGCGTTGGCCCAAGATTAAACCATCTCAGAGCTAGTGCTCAGGTCCGTAGGTGTGCCATTTCTTCCTAGGTGGCAACAGGACCAGAAGAACCAGAGAATCTGAATGCCACTCATTCTCTCTTTGTGTAGAAAACAAAAGCTGGCTAGGCTAATCAAATATTTGGTCAGAACCATTCTAGAACAATCGAATTGCCAGTGGGAAGAGATGATGGTAATTTGTCTTTTATCAACACAAAATAAAAATGTGCTTGACATTAATATATAAAGAAAGATCAGCATAAAATTGAAAGGTCCCCAGGAGGACTCCAATAGGAAAAAAAAAAAAAAAAGAATCGAAAAGAATGCAGATCTGTTTGGATGAAAACCTTTTACTAGGCTCATGGAAAGAACAAATCTCATTTAAAGGAAGTTGGAAGGAAAGTCTTGCTTAACACATGGAATAAAATGAGTGTGACCTGAACTGTTTACAAATAGTACCTTTCTTGAACTTTAAAAATCAACATTTCTTATTTTCATGAATTTATGAACCTATCGTGACTGCTGCCAAGAATATAGCCTATGCTTGTGTAATCCTCCAACTATTGGTAATTGCTGTTTGTGCAATGGTTTAGATCAAAAAAAAATTTTTACATTGACCTTTGTTTTGACACTGATACCACATGTATAAGCTATAAAGTGTGGTGTCTTTGATAGGAGTGTGCTGCTTCGTTATTCAAGCAGGGTGCGTAGTTAGATCTCAGAGTATTTGTGAAGGTCAAGGCCTATGGTGGTAGGTACACTGTAACCAGAGGAATGCCGACTTATCAAAAGACATGTTGATTTTGCTTCAGACGCCATTAGGTTTTGAATGTTTCGCCTCCTCAAGACAATAGACCGTAGCTATTATATTGTAGGCCCTGATTTAACGTGACTTTTAATATAAATCACATGATTCTTCACTGCGTGGAGGTGAACAGCTGTCAGGCCTCAGATATACTCCTGCCTAGCCTGCAAAACTTAGGAGGCTACTTTTGATTGGAATAAAAGTGCACACACTGACTTTTTAAAATGTGGCTTTAATTAATGGTGGGTGGGCAGACTTTTTCAAGGAGATGCATGATGTCAGTGAATATGAACTTTAATGAGAGTAAATGTATTGAGATAAACATGCGTCTCTAATTCTCTTCTTGCGGTCATTAGACCCCCGGTCTCTGCTCCCCCTTCCTACCAGCAGAAGGTCTGTGGAATCAAAATGAGAACAGGCTGGGCTCGTGTTTGAAGACAGGCCTCCTGAGCTAAGCCTCCAACTGGCCTGGCTAGAAAGGCCCAGCCTCCCAGACCGGATAGCACCATCCGTTTCCTTCTTATTTCTCATTGGTGCTTCTCAGCATTGCCCCAATTGTCCACTATGAACATCTTCTACTTTTTAGAAGATGGGTCGGGAGACCCGTACATTTTATTTAAAAGAAGAAACATCGATTCCAAGATCATGCTTAGCTGACACTACAGAGCAAATTCAACACTGCTATTCACAATGGACCCTGATTTCCCCCTAATGTTTGAACGGTTTAATCATCGATTATAGCAGCTGGTTAGAGCACCCTCATGTGTCTCTGTACTGTAATATCATTTCCGATCCTTTGTGCTGTGATATCATTTTATTTTGATCACAAGCCTCCGAATTTGTAATAATAGTGTTTTCCTTTCACGTTTACTTGAAAATTCTTCCTCAACTAAGTTTCCACCTCTAAATAAGATTATTATTAAATTCTAAAAAGATAAACCACCTTGTTCAAAACCAACCTTCTATCAAGAAGGAAATTCCAGTTTCTCTCAGTGGTTCTTTTTAAATCTAAAGATGCCATGCCATGAAAACTTCTAAATAATAGTTTAAGATGTACAAATTACAAGGAAAGATTACTTGGGAGATATCCACTATTTGCTCCCTTTCATAAGTTTGAAAATAGCTTTTACATTAGTCTACTCTTTAGAAATAGTCACAGGTAATCACAACTAGGCGAAATAATCACAGCTTCGTTGATCTTTTCTAAGAGATTCTATATCAAATAATCTATGTATTCGATCAAATACTGCCCTCCGATCACTGGAAACTTGCATGATAAGAATTCCATTAAAAAACCTCTCCCCAAGCTCTCTTACTGTAGCAAAAATACAAAGAATATGAGATTTAAAATCGGACCCGCCTTAGTTTTAATCTTGCAATACCAGTGGCTTTGCTCACTGAAATTCCGTTTTTCTCATACATAAAGGCCATTCCATGGTCCTGTGGGAAGACAATAAGGCAAATAGCTCAGAACCTGACATGCAGTGGTGCTCAATTAAAGTTCATTCCTTTCTCCTCCTCTCATCCGTAACTTTAGTAACAGAGCTAGATACGAACCCTGTAGGAACTGTCACTTAGGCTCCAGTCTGATTGCTCCACGTATCCATAGACTCATCCGCAGTACAGTTAAACATACGAGTTAACAGGCACGTAATATCTTCTAGTTTACAAAATACCATCAAACATTCTGTAATCTGATCTTCAAAAAAAACGCTGTACGAATATCAACCAGCATTAAGTATTCCTACTTTCCAGACGACAGGCTGGGGACCCGGCCGGATGCAGCGACAAATGAACCACACGGGCCTGACACACGGGGCGTGGGGTTCACACCCGGTTGTGCTCTCCCTTACGTCCTGGTGGACCTTCTGTGTGGTCTCTGTCGAGCATTTCTGAGGAAAACAGAGCATTTCCATATTTTAAAAAAGAGCAGCAGCTGCCCTTGGAAGGCAGCTTAATGATGATGTTTGTCCCCTTGTGTGGGTCTTTCTCCCACTAGCACCCTCTGATGAATCAGTATTACTTTCTGACAATGGGGGAGGCTGTTTTAAACCCCAGAAACGTAACTGCTAGTCACCCGTGAGCGTGCTGAAGCGACCTCGTCTTACTCCGTGGATTCAGAACCTTCCAGCTGATGGTGCTGCTGCTGGCCTCCGAGTCGTGCGTGCTGTTGGACTAAACTTAAGTCAACAGATCATTAAAGAGTTACTCTGGGTAAGCCACAGTTTGGAACGCAAAGTCCTATGGGGAGAAGAATGAAGACAGAGAAGCTCCTGGCCCCGAGAACGACGTTTCGAGCAGGGCCGAGAGAGACCCGACGGGGCGGCCAGCTCCGGGAGGCGGCGGCGAGGGAAGAATCAGCCAGCGGGCCGCCAGCCCAGGGGACAAGGGCTGTGTCACAGCGGAACGGGCGTTTGCGCCGGAGATCAGGATTTCCCAGGACTGAGATGACAGGGGAGATGCTTTCCAGGACGAAGGGGCTACGGGGCCAAGCAAGATCCTGGAACAGAAAGAACGTCAAAGCTGAGGAATGACGAGGGCTCCAGGGTGGAGTTCATAACTGGGACTTAATCGGGGCTGAGGCTGCAAGTTGGAGTCGGCCAGAGCTCAGCCTCGAGCGCCATGCAGGGAGATTTGGATGTCGCTGGGCAGCCACAGCAAGGCACTGAACACCGGGGCACAGAGGAAATGTCCAAGCTCCACCCTTACGCATTCCTAATTCCTCTGGAGTCCCCTTCTTGGGACTTAGATATCAAAGTTCAGATGTTCTATGATGTGTTCGAATTAATGCCTTAAATAGAACAGGAAATACAAGAAATGTTTGCTTCCCTGAACTTTATTTTCAGCCTTAAATATACATATTAAGGGCTAATACTTAGTAGTAAATACTACGCTTTCTGATGTAGCCTAAGAAAAAATTAGCATACGGCAACTGTGTTGGAAGTTTTTTTTTATTTTTTAGATATTATTTATTTATTCATGAGAGACACAGAAAGAGAAGCAGAGACAGGCAGAGGGAGAAGCAGGCTCCATGCAGGGAGCTGGATGCAGGACTCGATCCTGGACCTCGAGAGCATGCCCTGAGCTGAAGGCAGATGTTCAACCGCTGGGCCACCCAGGCGTCCCAAAGTTTATATTTTTAACATAATGTTTATATTACTATTGGCTACCTTATTCATTAGGGGTTCATAGCTGTTGACGGCATCTGGACCGGCATGGAAGCTGGGACTCTAGAATCAGAAGATTGGCTCAAATACTTAAGTATGACCTTAGATGGGTTACCCAAACAGGATTTCCATATCAAATAAAATGCATACACCAGGTTTTAAGCAGGCCTAAAAGGCAGGTAACACTACTCTTCATCTTTTGCATATGAAGAGACTGAGGTCTAATAGGGTGGCTGGAATTAGCAAAGAAATTGAATTTACTTGCCCGC